GTTATAAAGTAGCAGTGTTGGTTTCTCTTTTTTGCCTCTTACAGTTTCCATAAATCTGCTCTAGAAATGCCTGCCAGTTCTAGTGGGCTAAGATGGTTCTCTCTCTTCCTTCTCTCCAGACTCCGCTCATGAGCCATCCCAGCTGAGGGTGGAGGGAGGCACCTCACTATCCCTGGAGTGGATTCCAAGAGCAATGGGAAGCCTCTGGTCATGGAAATACCCCAGGTCAGAAAGGCAACAAGAGGGTATTATTATTATTATTATTATTATTATTATTATTATTATTTTGTTACCCATGGATGCTTAACCACTGAGCCCCACCCCTATCCTTTTTATTTATTTATTTTGAGACAGGGTCTTGCTAAGTTGCCTAGGGCCTCTCCAAGTTGCTGAGGCTGGCCTTGAACTTGAGATCCTCCTGCCTCAGCCTCCAGGGTTGCTGGGATTATAGCGGTGCACCACTGCACCTGGTTGACTCTGGGATCTTTGCCAGAGCCTTCAGATGATATTCTCATTCACAACCTCAACACAACTGGACTTTTGTTAGCAAGAAAGAGGAAAGGAGTGGCGGTTGGGGGGCATTGAAGTGGAAGGCCACTCCCTGGTGTTCTACTCAGTCAAGGGAGTGAAACACTATCCCTACCTTCCCTTCTTTCCTGGTTGGAGGATGTTGTGGCTGCTTCTCCTCTCCACACAAAACCTTCCTATTGTCCCTGAAAGAATGAGCCCCTCTGGTTTGTGGCCCCCAGGGGGTGAGGGTGGAAGCCCTCAAGGAGCAGAGGGTATTAATGGCAGATTATAACAAACACACAAGAAAGGCACCGATCAATCCAGGAGGGTCAGATGGGTGCGTTTTGACAACTGTGGACAGACAGGACCATCACAAATATTTAGACTTAGTCCCAAAAGGGCCCCCCACCTCCCCGTCAATTCCTCCCCCCAATGCTGATGTTTTTTTTTCCCCATTAGAGACTGATTTTGCCTCGTTGAGACTCACGAATAAATAGGATGCTGTCTTCTGTGTCTGCTTCTTTCACTCACTCCTTGTTCTTGATGCTTCCCTGTTGTTATCAGGGCCCCGTTGTTTTCCTCTTCACCCCTGAACAAGGTTCCTTTGTTGGGGTGCATCAATGTATTTATCCACTCGCCTGGCAATGGGCTTAGGGTTGCCCCTGGCTCGGGCTGTTATGAACACAGCTATTTTTAAAACCCTTGTTAAGTACTGGTGTAAACATGTGTGGGCTTCCTCTGGGTAAACACAGTGGAGTTTCTGAGTTACGCGGTAAATGTACACTTAGTTCCATAAGAAACTGCCAGGCGACTCTCCAAGGAAGCGGGACCGTTTTACACCAGCAGGGAATGAATGTTCCAGTTGCTCCATGTCTTGGTGCCGGCCCTCTTTTACAGTTTGAGCAGTTCCAATGGATCTGGAGTGGCAAGACATCCAAGTGTTCATTAGCACTTCTCTGACAACCCGGAGCACAATGGCAGGCTCACCAGGGGGTCTTCTGTCTTTTGTGAAATCTCTTGTTAGAGTCATTGGCTCATTTTGGAATTCAGGCTTTCCATCTTTTTCTCACTGAAGTTCTTTATATATTATGGATTCATATATTTACATATTTATATCATTTTTTGGAAGTTTTTTTTAATACATTATGGATACATATATTTATATTTTTTAAGACACAGGTGTCATAAATATTTTTCCAGCTCTATGTTCTGTCTCTTATGTCCTTCCCCCTTCCTTCTTTCCTTGTTGCCCAGGCTGGCCTGGAACTCCTGGGTCAAGCGATCCTGGAGTACCCAGGACAACGGGTGGCTGCCATGCCTCACTTGTCTATTTTTCTTTTAATGGTGTTTTGATAAACAGAGGTTTTAAATTTTATGAAGTCCAATTCACCAGGTTTTATGGTTATCTCTTCTGGCTTCTTCCAAAAGCTCTTTTATGGTTATTTCTTCTGGCTTCCTCCAAGAGCTCTCTCTTCCCCCTAAGGTCACCGTTCCCTCTGTGCTCCAAGCCACTTCAATCCATGCAGCCCCGGGAGAAGGTTTGTCCTTCCCAGCGAGCGCCATGCCGGCCTTCCCCAGTAGAGGGCGCCGGGGGCCGCGGCAGGGGCAGGGGCTCTTTGGCTTCCCGGGGCTGGTTGAGACCGTGCAGGGCGCCCCCTTGCGACCTCGGCTGGGGATCCTTTGCACGATCTGGACCTGAGCGACCTGCTTGCAGGCCGGGCTGGCCCAGGCAACCCAGGGGACCTGACCCGAGGTGGGAGGTGGGCTCTGAGCACACCCACCCGCTTCAAGTCCGCCCTCCGGGGGGACTTCCGCAGCCCGGGGTGCCTGTGCAGTTTCCTTACCTTTAACCCAAGGGGTGGCTCCTGTGCCCATGGGCGGGCTCCAGGCGGTGCACAGACCCACACAGTCACAAAGTCCTCTTCTGCGTGTCCTTTAAAACTTTTAGGGCTGTGATCAAGGGGACATTTTTTGAAGTGGGCAATTCTGAAGTGCGCAGCTCGGTCAGGACCCTCTATCCAGCCTGTAAGACGCACCTCCAGGCCTTTTGGACTCTGTCCCCACCAGCCACCAAGTCCTCGCCCACCCCCGCAGTCCCCTATGTGACTATGAACCTGGCCACTCTAGGGCCCGCATGTCAGTGGAGCCACACGACCTGTGGCTTCTGTGACTGGCTTCTCGTGCCCAGGGTCATGTCCGGGAGTCATCTGCACGTGGCTCGTGGCCGAATTTCCTTCTTTTTTCCAAGGCTAAGTCTCGGGCGTGGAGAGACCACCTGTTTGTCAGCGCCTCTGCGGAGAGACACTCGGGGTACAGCCACATCCGGGCTATGAGGAAGGACGAGGCTGGAGACGTGGGCGGACAGGACGCGACATCTCTGTGAGCGCAGCAGGGGACCCTGCGCAAGTCACGCCTGGCTGGCTGCTCCGTGCCAAGCGGAGGCTGGGAATGGAGCCCTCCAAAGCGTGTAAATGAGAGGCCAGGCCTGCTGGCCCTGCGCCAGCCAGCGTTGGGAGCTCAGCCGTGATGAGGACCCCAGACCAGGGCTCTGACCCTGGGCTGGGAAGCGGGGGACACTTGTCCCTGTGCATGCCCTCCCCCCCCCCCCCACGTTGGCAGGAGGCTGCAGCCCAGCGTCGGGCCTCCCTGCAGCCGCTTGTCTCTCTGCTGGCAGACGTCTGTGGAGCCTCTTGCATTCTGGGCTGCCATTCCGTTGGCACCCAGAGGGCTTCCCTGCCACCCAAACAGCAGATGGCCAGGAAATGAGGACTCACGCTCACGTCAACCAGAGAAAGTCTAATGCAATTGGCAGAGTAGACGGTCAGAAAAGCATGTGTCCCAACACATGCCATCTTGTTGGGCGCCACCTCCGCCAGCTGAGATCTGTAGTGTGGGGAACCACGGGCAGGGTGGCCTTGGAAGGCCAGGGGCCAGCCACTCCGCTGGGAGGGGGCTGGCTGGGATTTTTGGGTTTACCGGTCAGTTTCTCTGTTCACAGGGGGTTTCAGACCTGGAGTCATTTCTCCCCAACCTTGGTCACAGCTTTGTGACCAGGTCCAGTGCTCAGCTGGCTCCCAGGGATGAGTCAGGTTCTACGCCAGGGACTTTATATGTCTGTCAATCAGGGGCACTGAGGCTATTGGTAACACCAAACCAAAGTACCAGTCCTTAAACAAAACAGAGGTTTCTTTTTTTATCACAAAAATCATGTCCTGAATCAAGTAGAACAGGTCTGGGTGGCAGTGTCACATTCTGAGGAGTACAGTTTTGTCCTTTCTTCCGGCTCTGCCATTCTCAACATGTCACCTGCACCTCATGCCTTCTGCCCAGGAGAGTTGCTTTTGCTCCAGCCATCAAACTTGCATCCCAGCAAGCAGAAAGAAAGAAGGGAACTGGAAGGGTGCACTCCCACTCCACCGGATATTTCTCAACAGGCCTGCTGTTTGGACATTTCCACTCACATAATAAAATAAATAAAACTTACTTTGTGGCCCTGCCTAGCTACAAAAGAAACATTCTCAACGAAAGTTCAGGGTTGCCATGCCTGAGGTAGAAGAGAAATATTAGTGAAGGCCACTTGGCCCTCTTCACCACACAGGCCTATTTTCAATAACTTCTAATAATTTTTAGAGCTTAAACCTTGCTCGTGTGTTTTTCTTATAGTTTAATTACACAGTATGAAGTCCAGATGGTGCCCGGTAAAACTCTCCCTCCTGTTACTGCCCTCTGGTACCTGGTGTGACCAGAGGCTGTCTAGACCAGTTTGTTTGGTTTCTTTCAATGCTTGGATTCAACTTGAGGGCACTCTTATCACTGAATTACACCCCCAGACCTTTTGTTTTTAATTTTTTACTTTGAGACAGGGGTCTCACTAAGTAGCTGAGGCTGGCCTCAAACTTGCAATCCTCCTCCTGCCTCAGCCTCCAGAGTTGCTGGGATTACAGGTTTATATCACCAGACCCGGGTAGAACAGTGGTTCTTCTTCTTTTTTTTTTTTGGTACTGGGATGGAACTCAGGGATGTTCTACCTCTGAGCCACATCCCCAGACCTTTTCATTTTGAGACGAGTCTAAGTTGCTTAAGGCCTCGCCTAATTGCTGAGGCTGGTTTGGGGGCTTCTGAACTCGTGGTCCTCCTGCCTCAGCCTCCCAAGTCACAGAGATTACAGGTTGTGTACCACCGTGTCCAGCTAGATCAGTGGTTCTTCAAGTGGGCGCCATCTGGCAGCACCAACTCTTGGGTCCCTGTCCAGACCCTCAGATCCAGAACACAGTCTCAGAACACAGCCAGTGGTCTGTGCTCAGAAAGCTCCCGAGGGGCCTGACACCTGTGAGTTCTGAGAGCCTGGTCTGTGCAGGGTCAGGCCAAGCCACCTGGCTGTAGGCCTCTCTGTCCCCATCACAGAGTGGAAACCCACTCTTCATGCTGTCTGCCCCCAACTGTTGCACCAAATACAATCAGCTCCAGAGAGAGCTTTGTCCTCCCCTCCCCTCCCCGTCCGCCCTCACCCAGGACTTAGCTCCCGTCAGCCAAGCACTTTCCATCTGAGCTGGACCTCCAGCCCCTCCTTCCTTTTGGCACAGCTGTATTGAGGTAGAATTTACAGACTACACAATTCATCCCTGTAAGCGTACAGTTCAATGGTTGTTAGTATCTTCCCCGAGCTGTATGACTATCACCACAATTTTAGAACATTTTCAGCATTCCTTGTAATTTAAATTTTGGGGGGTGGGTACTGGAGGGACGCTTAACCACTGAGCCACATCCCCAACCCTTTCTATTTTGAGACAGGGTCCCATTAAGTTGCTTAGGGCCTCACGAAGTAGCTGAGGCTGGCTTTGAATTTGTGGTCCTCCTATCTCAGCCTCCCGAGCCTCTGGGATTACAGGCATGTGCCACCAAGCCCAGTTTTTTTTTTTTTTAATTTTTGAAGAACTATGTTAAGTGACTGTTCAAATTCTAAAAAGACCTTCCTGCCACATGAGACCCCACCTCCTCAGGCCCCCCACTCCACCCAAGGTAACCACTGTGACTTATGGATGTCTTTGCTTCCTTTTCAGAATCTCTGTTTGCAAATCTGAACACGGGCTCTCTCCCCATGTGCACGGATGAGAGGAGGCCCTCCTCCGTCTCCCTCTGCCCACTCTGCTCCAGTTCATCACTGTGGAACGCCGGGCTTCCACTTTCCTTCCCAGAGCCTCACTTTCCCCCACGGTAGAATGGGGATGAGAATCTTCCTAGTATTGGATCAAAGTGAGATGAGAATGGCCTGTGGTCAGCAGTGTCTGGGACTGGGGACTCAACACTTTCCTTTTCTTCCCTTCCCAGAGCATGCCGTCAAGTGTATCATTCCTGAGTTGGGGTCAGATGGCCTTGATAAGTAAGGACACAGAGGGTGGGTGGCAGGTGCCGCTCCCAGGATCTGCAATACCAACAGTCACCAGCAGGGGCCGCAGTGCACAGGGCTCAGAGCAGGTCTGACAGGTGGGAGCCCAAGGAGGTGACCAGGGGCTGGGAGAGGAAGCCTGGCTGGAGGGTGGGTGAGTTGGGTCAAAAGAAAAAGTAGTTCAGTTGGACTTCCTCAAAATTAAGAACTTTGGAGAAGACAGCCCACAGGACAGGAAAAAAGTATTTGCAAATCATAGAAGGGATTAATATGCAGAATTGGTAAGGAATTCTCAACTCCAAAGAGGCGTCGAAACAGTTTGGTGGTTCCTCACACATGGACGTAGGATCACCTTTACACCCTGTAGTGCCACTTAGGCATCTGCAGAAACACGGTACAAGAAGCTGGCACGGTGTTAGACGCCTGTCATCCCATACACTTGGGAGGCCGAGATAGGAGGATGGCAATTTGAGGCCAGCCTGGGCAACTTAGCTGAATAACAAACAAGTGTGCTGTCACAGCCGGCCCTGCTGCAGGGTCCCCCAAGGTGTGACCCTGTCTGAGGCTTTGTCAGCAGCAAGACACGCTCCAGGACAGGACGAGCCCCCTTAGGACCAGCCTCCTGGATCCCCTCACTGAGGAGAGCACTCCCAGGCTGGGCAGTGAGCTGCTAAATCGTCTCCTTCCTCTGGACGCTGCAGGAGCGTGGGCTGAGCTCTCTTCTCCTCTGCGATGACGGTTTCCATCTTGCAAGGCAGGAACAGGAACTCAGAGAAGCTGCCCGGGGTCTCGCAGCCCTCCCATCTGGGGCCAGTTTTCTATTTTATATGCTGAATATATTCCCTTCTCTCCTTCTTTTCTTCTTCCTTCTGGCCTTGTCTTTTCCAGCCAACTGTGCATCCCTGCAGCCCCCAGTCCGTCCCCTCTTACTGATGGGCAAGGAGGCTGGGGAGGGGTCACAGCCTGCCCAAGGCCTCCGAGCCTCGCTGGCAGGGCCTCCTGGCCTGAGGGCCTCCTGAAGCCCTCCATTAGCTCTAAGGTGCTGATGGGCAGGTCAGGGGTGCGGCAGGGACACAGAACTCACTGGGGATCAGATTGCAGTTCTTGCTTCTCCTAGTGACTGACCCAAGATGGGCCCTGGAGACAAGGTGCCTGGGCCTTATTCAATGCTGTGTCCACCCCTACCCCAGCTCAGGCCTGCCACTCAGCAGGACCCGAGGTTGTGAAGAATTAGAGAATACACTTGGAAAAGATGCACGCCCAGGCTAAGGGCGAGAGGAGTACCTGTCCAAGCATGGTGGCTGGTGTGCCCAGCAGCTCAACCCACAATAGTCAAGCTACGGAGCCAACCAAGGTGCCTTCGACAGATGAACGGATAAAGAAAACGTGGTACAGATACACAATGGAACATTACTCAGCCATGAAGAGGAATGAAATTATGGCATTTGCTGGTGAATAGATGGATCTGGAGACTGTCGTGTAAAGTGAAATAATCAATCCCCCAAACCAAAGGCCGAATATTCTCTCTGACATGTGGATGCTGACACACAACAAGTGGGGGCGGGTAGGGGAAGTTCACTGGATTAGACAAAGAGGAATGAAGGGAAGAGACAGGGGCCAGGAATAAAAAAAAAAAAAATGGTAGAATGGACCGGCAGAACTTACCTACGTTCATATGTGAACACCCCACAATGAATCTCACCATCATGGACATCCAGAGGACCAGGATCCTCATTAGGATAAGATGCACCCCATGTTTGTACACATATGTCAGAATATCTCTACTGTCAGGTATTCTCACAGAGCACGGTGGCTGGCACACCGGGGTCCTGGGGTTGGGGGGGATCCCCCTTCTCTGAACACACATTTTAACAGGGACAAGGATGTCTCCGACATCATCTGAAGTGGCAGAGACGAGCTGGCGAGCCGGGGGTCTCGGGGGCCTGGCCCTGGGATGTGGTGGTCTCCTCCCACCTGGCCCCACCCGCGAGGGACCACAGGTGCAGGTTCTTTGCGAATGGTGACTTTTGTGCACCTCTAAGCCAGATGCTTCTGTGAGCCCCAAGACATCTGCAATTCCTGGACCCCAGTTAGTGCCATTTACAGCCATTGTCCCATGGGGCAGGGGACTCTGGCCTCCGTTACTAGTGCTGGGCCTGGGGAGGCGGGGGCACTCCGGGGGACCCCTGATAACCCTGCCTGGAGACG